CAGGTGACAGACTGTTCTTTGTCTTACAGACGTTTTGTACAGGCAGTAGTTCTAATTCAGACCGTGGCTGAACTAATACTACTGTTGCTGCGTCTCTCACTTTTTGAACTGTACAGCTCTTTCAAAGAAATCAGAAAATAAATTATTGTTTTCAGACTTTCTGGATACACCAGAATTAGTCGCTTCCGCTGTTATTTTTGAGCTTAAGGGTTTACAGCTCCCTGGATAGTCACAGTGGTTTTCCAGTGTGTTGTATTTCTCACACCTAAAGACCCAACACACAGGCAGCAGTAACTTTTACCCATGTTGAGCAGACTGTTTTTTCTATACAGTTAGGAAAAAACCTCAGAAATTTAAGATTAACAGAACAGATTAATTACAGACACGCGAAAACACAGAAAATACAGCAGAATGAAGAACTTTGAGCTACGCCCGAGGTACGTCCGTGCAGGGAGTAATGTCAGCGTTGGATTCTGTCGCGGGCAGCGTTGGTGACAGAGCCGCCCGCTGAGACCGACCGTTCCGCGCCTGCGGGGACACCGGGACACGCGGACGCTAAACGTGAGCGTGACTCCTGAGAGCGGCCTCGAGGTGTGGGTTGTGCCTGTCTGCGGGCGTGGAAGTGCTGCCCTGCCCAGAGCCTGCGGGAGGCTTCGGTTTTACGCCAGTGAAGCCCTGGGATACCCAGGCAGCGGCTGGAAAGCCCTCGTGGTGACCTGCCATCTCACCCCGATCAACTGAGAACTGAAAACACGGCAGCAACCACCCCGGAGCTCGGTCGGCGGTGGGTTTTATTTACTGTAGCTGCTGTGGACATTTACTGTGTGGACTGTCTGCGATCTCATGGTCGAATTTTAAGCTTGTTTTAGTCATTCCTTTAAGAAGATTAAATGCAGTTTAATGCGTTTAGTTATTTATTTCCATACCAGAAGTGATTTCATGGGAAAGTTTACAAATCCTTGTGTACAATTTCCTGAAGCACTTCAGAATCCTGTAGGAAGTGTGCCTCCTTGTCAGAGCTGGCGTTAAGCAGTCATCAAGCCAGATTTTGGCCTATTTCTCAGTGATCAGACGTTTATAATTAATCAAAACTGAAGCAGAGCAAAGGAAGGTGAAGGTGTGAAGGAAGATGGTGAAGGAAGGTGGTGAAGGTGTGAAGGAAGGTGGTGAAGGTGTGAAGGAAGGTGGTGAAGGTGTGAAGGAAGGGCTGAGGCAGTTAAGAACTGTGTGATCTGAACTGCTGCACAGGCATCGCTTCACCAATCTGTATATAATCAGTTACGGATTTTGCGGAATACGCCCTTGGGAGACAAATCAATGGTTTTCTAACGGTCGTCTTGGAAAAAGGTCCACTTGGAAAGAAAGTATCAGCTGTAGTTCCCCCCCCACCCCCGTCAGACAGTTAACCCATCGAGTGGTGAAAGTTCATCGTCCTGTTCCAGATGCGCCGCGCAGGACCGGCTCCAGGAGAGGAGCGAGGGTCCTTCCCCTGCGCGTGCCCGGAACCCGCAGGGACTCGGGTCCAGGCGTCCGCCAGAGCCGCTCCCGGCCGAAGGAGAGCCCCGGCCTCAGCCCAGCTCACGCTGCCCCACAGGAGCCAGGCGCTCCGGGCGGGGCCGGCTCCAGCCACCGGCGCGGGGCCTGGACCGAAACCAGGACGAGGGGTGGGCGCGCCGCTGTCGGGGGGCTACTTCCTTTTCCTCTTCTCCACGGCGTTGTAGTGGGGGTTGCAGAGCATGGTGAAAAGGATCAGAAGGGGTATCAGGAGGTACGGCACGTAGACGGACAGGAGGATCAGGCGCTCGCGGTGCGTCCGAGGCCCCACGTGCTCCGACCGTGAGAAGTCGTGGAACAGGATATGCGCCAGGATGGCGAACAGCGTGGTGGCGACGTGGGTGGAGTAGATAATTGCAGGAGTCCTTATCCATTTGCAGCCACCTGTATAGAATAGCCAAAAGGAAACGATATTTGAGTAGTTTGAAACACACAGAATTCAGTGGCTTTTAAATCAACAGAACATGAACCGCTGTCTGACGGGGTGAGCCATCGTGTCAAACGGGGGGTAGAAAAAACCGTGAGTCCTGGCAGCGGCCCAGGAAAGCGATCCACCCTCATGGAAACATAGAACGATGGTGGGACTGTGAACATTACAAGTAACAAAATGAGTTTGACCCAGAACTTTGCTTTGGAAGTGCCGGATGTCAGAGGTCAGTGCTGGTGACACGCAGATGGCTGCAGCCCACGGGCCTGCAGCCGCTCACGGGTTCGTTTCTGACGGGCCTCGGCCCGTGCTGCTGCCTGGGATGAACTGTGCCACGGGAAGAGCGCAGCACGCCACGCGGCACGTGCCCCTGTAATTGCTTAAGGCTGATCAGCTTCCTCCGCTGCACAAAAGCCACGTGTTAGGCAGCAGCGCCGCGCAGGACGTACCAACGTGTTCCACACCAACCTTTTAAGAAGGCGTAGGCCGCGATGGGGAAGAAGGGCATTTGGAAGAAGGCTTCGCAGTATATGAACGCCTTGAACCACTCAGGGGGCTGGAGCATCATGGGGTCTCTAAAGGTGGCCACGTACCACTGTAACAAGTCTGCCAGCTTAAAGAGAAAGAACGAAACAGCAGATTAATAGACGGGACGTTGGCAGCACCGGGGCAACAGTCGTGGCCTCAGCCGGCGGTCAGGTGAAGGCACCGCCGCGGCGGGAAAATCAAGTGAGCTCACCTTGACATGGGGCTTTGCACGACAACCTGGTTTTAATAGGGACTACGTTTCTGAGGTCTTTAAAATGATGAACCCTTCCCATTAACTCACTGTTAAATCTGCACCACAGGCAGTTCCAGGATCCCTACAGCACTAAGTGCAGCTGCTTTCCAAAGCCTGTTCCCGAACTGTCAGACTTTCCTGCCAGAAAAAAAAACCCAAACCGCAAAAAATCTGCTCCTTGCCCCGAGCAGATCTTATTTTCCCCTTTCTGACCCTCCTGTTGCCAGCTGAGGCGGGCGCAGATACCTGCGGGTGCTCGCCGCCCCTCCCCAGGAGGGTGCCCCAGCCTGGTGTCGCCACCTCGTGCAGTCGGGGAGCGCGTCGCTGGATGACGAGGTTCATGGCCGGCTGCTGCTGCTTGAGCAGCTCCTGGTTGGGGTTTTGGCTGAGCGAGGTGCAGCTCGTTTCCATGACAGAAATGTAAATTCCAGCATGGCTTTAAGTTGGACTTTGAACGGAGAGATATGTATTGGTATTAGCTGGTTAACCATTAATTAAAAATGGTGTCTCTAATGGAGTAATTCTACAGGCAATTCTGATGACAAAAATCAAATTCACTAATTGTTCAGCTCCTATAGGAAGTTATGGCCCATCTCACTCTGATGTCAAGAGCTGAACTGATTATCTTCTGTCCGGCCGTTACCGTGATTTACCTCATTATCTTCATTGTCTTCTGGAATTTTATTCTGACCGAGCAAACCAGAGCTCCCCACTAACACCCCTGGGTGCTACCGGGCCTGCTGCTGCGGCGCTCACGATTCCCTCTGACGTTTCGGCAGA